TCCTATAGTCCTGGAGTTTGTATACTTCCTCTTGCACTGACCAGCTGGCTCACCTTGGACCAGCCACCTCCCCTCAGCCTCAGTTTCTCCATCTGTAAAATGGGGACAAGATAGTACCTATCCCATAGGGTCCACAATTTCCATGACTCACTCTGCTCCAGCCATGCTGGCCTCCTCACTGGTCCCCAGACACACCTCAGGGCCTTTGCACTGTTGCTCCTTCTGTCTGGAATAGTCTTCCCCCAGAGATCCCCAACTACTTTTCATCTTTGCCCGAAGGTCATCTCAGTTGAGCCTTCCTTGACCCTACTCCACTCCCCACTTTCTTACTATTTTTCATAGCACTGATAAATTGAAATATTATGTGTTGTACTTATTTAACTTTCTCTTGGTTTCCCCCTCTTCTAGGATGTAAGCTTCAGCAGGGCAGGGATTTCTATCTGGTTCATGGTTATATCCTCAGGGCTCGGAACCATGACTCCTGCACAGTGGGTACTCTGTGTTGTTGAATGGAAGGAAAGAGAGTGAAGGAAGGCAGGAGGGAGAGGGAGACAGGGAGGGAGGAAGAAGGAAAGAAGTGAACCCCCACGAGAACATCCTTGGTAAAACAAAATGTGCAATGAAAGATGATTCCATCTTAGAAAGGAAGGAAATTCTGACACACGCTACAACATGAACTTTGAGGACGTTGTGCTCAGGGGAATAAACCAGTCACAAAGTGATTCCACTTCCGAAAGCAGATGGAGGTTGGGGGAGGCAGGGCTGGGTGAGGGGATGGGGAGGAAGTGCTGAACAGGGACAGAGCCCTGGCTGGGGAAGACAGAAGCTTTCGGAGATGGATGGCTGCCTCAGGCCACTGAACTGTCCACTTAGAAATGATTTAAGTGATGAATTTTATGTTCTGTATATTTTACCACAATAAAAAAGGAAATCAAATTTTTAAATTTTTTTGTATTTCTTTTAAAAGTGTATTTATTTGAGAGAGAGAGAGAGCAGGGGGAGGCGCAGAGGGAGAGGGAGAGACAGAATCCTCAAGCAGACTCCCTGCTGAGCACAAAGCCGGGTCGTGGGGCTCATCCCAGGACCTTGGGATCATGACCTGAGCTGAAATCAAGAGCCAGCTGCTTAACTGACTGAGCCACCCAGGCAGCCCTCAGTATTTTTTGTTTTTAATTAATTTAATTAATTTCTACACCCAACATGGGGCTCAAAACTCACTACCCAGAGATCAAGAGTCGCATACTCCACCAACTGAGCTAGTCAGGCATCCCTCAAATCAATTTTTTAAAAGCTTTGAGCATTAAAGGACAAAAACAAAAGAACATAGCACAGCGCTTGGCTGTGCCAAGCCCTCAGTAAATGGGAGCTTCCTTCCCCTCTCCTCACCAACCTGGGATGGTCACACACCTCTTGCCCCTGCCCCATCTAAGGGCTGTCTTCACTCACCACCTCCTCCCCAAACCCCCAACCCCCCAACCCCCCTTCCAGTCCCACCAGCCATGAAAACCTTCCAGTCTCCCCGCTGCCCAGCTGGGTCCCACTCCCATGTCTCTTCCTTCCTGGAAAATTATCTCAACTTTCCCAACGCCACCCTTTCCTGGCCTTCTTTCTAGCTCTCCCCTTGCTCCTTCTCAGCACCCTGCCTCCTAAACCGGGGTCTTCCTTAGGGTCCTGGGCAGATGTCCCTGGTCCTCTCACTAGATATAGTCTCCCTACGTGGGCTGCAGGCACTCTGGCTTCCATGCCACTTGAGCTAATAACACCCCACTGCTCTCTCTAACCAAACAGCCCTCCTAAGCTCCAGAGATAGGTCTCCACCAAGGATCCTAAGGGCTCTTCTCTCCCCTGCTCAGAATCGCCCTTGAGCTTCTGCTTCTCCAGGCCACTTTTCCCTCCTGCCCTCTGAGCTCTGTCACCATCCTCCTGCCTGGAGGTCTCTACTCAAGCCCCTCTCCTCTCCCCCTACCCCCCCCCCCCCCTACCCTCCCTCCATCCCCCTGGCGAACTCCTACTCATCCACCACAGGCCCCAGCTGAGATAGCCCGCCCTTAGGGAACACTTCCCCACTCCTGGGGTTTCATCAGGCCCTTCCATATTCCTTTCAGGGGCACATCACCCTGGACCAAGTTTCCTATTGCCCCATTGGCCTTTCCCACCAGACCAGGAGCAACTTGAAGGCAAGGACTCTGGCCATCTGTTTGTTCATTCGTTCATTCACTCACTGAATATCTTTTGCACACCCATGTCAGGGCCAACAGCACTGCTAAGGTGGTGGTGGGTGGAGTGGTGAGCAGGCGGCCCAGGTTTTGGATTCTGGCAGGAGGGTGCTGAGTAACCTGGTGGAGCACGCAAGGAGGGGAGCTGGGCTGGGGAGCGAGAAGGAGGGGAGCATACTTGGGGTGCATGGGCCAGCCTTTCGCTAGGGCTCTCTTGGGTTCACTGAAGGCTTCTGCTTAAGCAGAGCCTTCTTTTCATTTTACTTAATTTTTTTTGAAAGATTTTCTTTATTATTTGAGAGAGAGAGAGAGAGAGATCATGAACAGGCGGAGGGGCAAAGGGAGTGTCAGGAGACACCTGGGGTGTCAGCAGATGGAGCGCACAAACAGGAGAGGGTTTGCAAACTGCAGACCACACTGAGAACGGAGCCCAACTCAGGGCTCCATCCCAGGACCCTCAGGATCACCTGAGCCGAAGACAGATGCGCAGCCGACTGAGCCACCCAGGCGCCCCTCAGAACCTTCTTTTTAGGCAGAGGGAGACCTCATGCTTACCAGAGCCTCTCAACTCAGCAGAGGGTCCCCCTGAGTCCATCAAATCAAGGTTTATGCTCAGATGGAGGGGGTGAGCTCGCCTTTACCCAGAAATTCTGTTTTGTTGCTGTTTATTTTGAAATAAATTTTGGAGAGAAAAATGAAATACTTACGGACTGTAAGAAGTTGTTCAACTGATAGAGTCCCATGGACTCCTTCTCTCAGCTTCCCCCGGTGGCGATGTTGTCATAGATAAATTCCTGCAGGCTGTATCAGTCCCAGGAAATCCCCGAGGGCCAGTAGCCAGACTCTTAAGGTCTAGTTCCAGGTCTCTGTGTATAAGTTTTTCTGTGTGCATGTGTGCACAGGTGTTTCTTTCTTTTTTTGTTTTGTTTTGTTTTGTTTTTAGGATTTTTATTTATTTATTTGACGGAGAGAGAGAGAGCACAAGCAGAGCGAGTGGCAGGCAGAGGGAGAGGGAGAAGCAGGCTCCCTGCGGTCCTGGGGTCATGATCTGAGCCCTGAGCCGAAGACAGCTTAACCGAGCCACCCAGGTGCCCCTGCATGGTGTTTCCATGGAAGGTTATGTCATGCGTACATCCGTGTCACCATGAGGGTCCCCAGGTGCGGACAGCCCCCTCCCAGGCCCCCTGCGCCCTAGGGGGGGTCTTCCCTTCTGTTCAGCATCCCACCTTCTGGTTTGCCAGAGCCAGAGCTGACACCTTCAGCTCCTCAGAACCAGATCACAGGAAACAGAAGTGCACACAGGGAGGTGGGCGTGTGGGTTCAAATGCCCGGAGTGAGTCCCCAGGGACAGAGACAGGGGCTAAGCAGCAGACCAGGCAGAGAGGGAGGAAAGTGGTTTGGGAGCCAGTCTGGGTGGGAGATTGGGGGGGGGGGCGGTGCTGGGGTGTCAGGAGAAGGAGAGTACAGAGGTTGCCTCCTGAGTCACCGTGCCCCGCTCAGGCCCAGGGACAAACTGCAGTCATTAAGGAATTTAAGAGGCTGGGGAGGTGCTGAGGGGAGTGGGCCTTGCCCCAAATTAGGAGGGGTCCCTCGAACCCAGAGCCCCTCCTTGGCCACCTGGAGCCCCTTCCCACCTCACCACTCTCTCTCTCCCTCTCTCTGGGTCTCCATCTCTGTCTCTGTCCCCCAATCTGCCCCTGCCCCTCTGCAGAGCCTCAGCTGGAGGACCCCAGTTCTGTACTGACCCCCTCCTCCCTGCTGGGGCCCCTGCTCCCCAAACTCCCAAGACTGTGAGAACCACAAAAGCCTAGGGAAACGAGGCAGTCCCAGGTGCCTCCTGCCCGTCCTGTCTCCTGCCAGTTCCCAGCCCCACCCCTCCCTCCCTCCCTCCTCATGGCAACTGTCACCTTCCATGTTTGCCTGTCTCCTCTGTCTGGGTCCCCATCACCTGTGTTACCTTTCATTCCCTCTGTCTCCCCCTCCTCTGCCTTGTCCTTCATCTTCCTCCTCCTCCTCTCCAGTGTATCAGCACTTGTCTGCACCATCCCTGTCATCCTCCCCCCAACCTGTGCCTCCCCCCCCCACCAGCCTCTTCCCTCTGTCCCCACCCCACCACCCTCTGCTTTCCCACTCTGCCCTCTCCATGAATCTCTGTTTCTGGGCTTCCCCTGTTCCCTTGTCTTTCCCCGAATCTGCCTCCTCTGTCCCTGTGTCTACATTCATCTTCCTTCCCCTTCCCCATCTTTCCCTAGTCTCTCTCCCTCTGACTCTTCTCTCTCTGGCCTGTGTTTCTCTGACCCTATCTCTGGGTCATATGTGACTTCTCTTTCATTTCGCAGACTTCTCTGTGTCTCTGTCCCCCACCCCTCCCAGCACCTTCCCGTGAGACCCCCATCCTGTCCACCTTGCCCTGGGATCCCCCCTCCCGAGGTTCCTCCCAGATTAAACACCATCACTGGGCGGGTTCTCATTAATGTTGTGGCTGCTTCTCTGGCCAGAGAGGGGAGGGAGGAGATAGGACAGGGAGCCCTGGAATAGGAACCGGGCTATAAAAAAAAATGTCAGGAGAAGGGCAGGAGGCAGGGCCAGTTGCCCAGACCAGGATAAAAGGCCTCCACGGAGTGACAGGGAGGCAAGACACCACCGCCACGTCCTCCACACACAGAGGTACATCCATGTCTCCAAAGGTCTTGGTCTCTGTGTGAGGTCCTCTCTGTCCCTCAAACTCTGGGTTTCTTGCAGCCTGCTTCTCTCTCACTTTCTCTCTGCATTTGCCAGAACCCAACCCCCAGCCCCCAGAATGTTCTTCCTGCTGACAGCATTCCAGATCGTGGCTCTAGGTAAGACAGCAGTGGGGTCTGAGGTAAGGACAGTCCCCTGGAGATGCTGAGAAGAGATGGGGAGGGTTCCCAGGGACCCAGTGTACTCAGGGGTGACCTGGTGAGAAGGTATGGGTGTGGTTTTGGGGGTCTTGAATGAGGAGCCCTTAGGAGGGGGCCTGGGTTCTGAGTTGTGGAGATATCAGGAGATATGAGGGTACCGGAGTTGAAGGAGATGGGAAGAAATAAATGAGGACTTGCGGAGAACTGTCCAGTCCTGTCTGGGTTTTATTTAAAAGGAGGCTGCAATAAATAAATAAATATAAAAGGAGGCTGCAAAACTAACGGAAAGATGGCATGTTGTTGGCGGGGTAAGGGTGATGATAGGGGTTGGAGGGTGGGCTCACAGGGAGGGGTGAGGATCGGCAGATGGAGTGGCTGTGAGGCAAGACAGTGGGAAGACGGTGGGTCCTGGGGGTGCCATATGAGTGTGAAGGCTGGAAAAAGGACAGGGAGCTCCTTGAGTGTGTTCAAGAAAGGTTAATGGGGGGAATTGTGACACATTATGAGAAGTGATGATATAAACTACTCATGGGAGAGTAAAATCAAAGGTAGTAGATATGTAAGAGCCCTGGATGAGGTGGCCATGGGATCAAGTGCTGTACTATGGAGGTGAAGGGGGGAGGTGTTGGCCGATAACGGCCAACATTTGGTGTATCTCACAGATCTCATACTGCGTGGGCAGATAGAGATGGGTGGTTTAGGGGGAGGTTACAAAAAGGGATTTGTGGGTCCCAGACGTCCTAGAGAGTTGGGAAGTGAAGAGCATTTGCTCATCTGCTTTCCCCGCCCCACCCCTGCCTGTTCCTAGCCATGGCACAGAGCCAAAGGGATGAGAACAAGATAATTGGTGGTTACACATGCGTCCAGAACTCCCAGCCATGGCAGGCAGCCCTACTGGCAGGTCCCTTTCGTCGTTTCCTCTGTGGAGGGGCCCTGCTGTCAGGCAAGTGGGCCATCACTGCTGCTCACTGTGCACGCCCGTGAGTAATCCTCTCCCCCACTCTTGTGCCAAGTGAATTCCAGTCTAGAGCCCCAGAGCTCAGCTAAGAAACCCGAACATTGTGTTGCACCTAATGTAGTAGCTGGGGCCTGGTTTGGGGTCTGGATAAGAGCCTAGAATTACCAACACAGCTCAGAATATGGAATCCAGCCATAAATCTTGAACTCGGTTTAGATTCTTTTTTTTTTAAGATTTTATTTGTTTATTTATTTAGAGAGAGAGAGAGAGAGCGAGCAGGGGGAAAGGCAGAGGGAGAGATAGAATCTCCAGCAGACTCTAAACTGAGAGCAGGGCTGAAGGCGGAGCTCAATCCCACCACCCTGAGGTCACAATCCCAGCCAAACCACGGGTCTGATGCTCAACTGAATGAGACACCCAGGTGCCCCTTGGTTTAGATTCTGAAAGCAGATTGACAGTTTAGAACCATAGGCCAGTGTAGAGTCCCACACAAAAAGTAGAACCTAATATAATCTGGAGATCTATCTAGAGGCCAAGCTCTACGTAGAGACTAAGATTAGGAGACCATTCCAGATTGGTGGTTCAGTCTAGGGCACGGTCTACATTCAGTAACTCAGGACACCTCTCAAAACTTAGAGTTCAAAGTCTAGTCCAGACCTGCAGTCCAGCCATAAATCCAGAACCCTGTTTACAGCTAGAACATCAGCTCAGAATGTTGAACAGACAGACCCAGAACCTATTCTAGAGGCAATGTTTAATTCAGAATCTAGTCTACAGCTTCTTTTTTAGCAGCTGGAACCCAAACTCCAAGCTAGTATCCAACTGCAGACCATAATCTGAAGCCCCATACAGAACTCAGAGCCCCTCCAAGAGTCTAGACCTAAACATAGAACCCAAATCCAAGAAAAGAGACTGCCCAGTGCCTATAAACCAGATCTAATGCCATAAACTAAAGTTTGATGTAGAATCCAGAGCCCAAAACCTAGTGCAGAGTCTAGAAGGCAAAGCTGAGAATGCAAGGCAACATCTAGAAACTTGGATCCGAAGTTTCTGGAGCTCCATCTAGAAGCCAGAGCTCAACCTGAGGTCAAAGGCTCGGACCAGAGTCTAGAAGCAAGAGCCCAGACCATAACTGTAATTCCATTTGAAACAAAGCCTAACCAAGAATCAAGAACTCAGACTGATGTTTAGGACCCTAACCTCAAACACAGAGCTCAAGCCATTGTCTAAAACCCAGGTCATAAACCAAAACTTAAGCAGGAACCCAGAACTCAACCTAGCAACTTAGAAACTGAAGCTTGTATCCATGTCCAGAATCCATTGCTCAATCTAGAATTGAGACTACCCTAAGACTAAGAGCTCAAATCAACATTCTAGAACCCAGACTCAAACCATAATGCAGAGCTCAAAATAGAACCCACAGCCTATCTTAACACCAGAAGCTCACACCCATATCTAGAAAGTATGCCATGATCCATAAGCAATCTAGAAAGCCCAGATCCTAGCTTAGACTCAAACGTTCAAAATATCTAGAACACAGGGGCCAGGCTGGGACCAGGATGGAGCCTCCCTGGAGCCTAGTCCAGGATATCAATCCTGATTTAGAGCCTAGAGCCATAGCCCAGACTCTCACTTGGAATTCAGAGCCTAGAACCCAACACTGAGCCAAGAACTCGCAATTATCACCTTACACCCAAGCCAGAAAGCAGAGCATAGCTCAAAAGAGGAAGGGGTGGATGGTAGGATCGGCCCAAGAGAGAATGCTCAGGTTGTGGGAAAGAAGAGCGCAGGAGTCCATCAAATGCTCCATAAGCAGTTCAGACTTGTGGAAAATTCATCACCAGGGAAGAGAATGGGGCCAGAGGGTGGGGAGGGGTCTCCAGGTCAGATCCTGAGCAGTGCAACTTTTGGGGTTTATGGGCCAGGATACTTCATGTAGCCCTGGGCAAGCATAACCTGAAGAACTGGGAGGCCACCCAGCAGGTGCTACGTGTGGTTCGTCAGGTGCCACACCCCCAGTACAACTCCCGGACTCACAATAACGACCTGATGCTGCTGCAGCTGGAGCGGCCCGTTCGGCTGGGGAGGGCAGTGAGGCCCATCACCATAGCCAGCTCCTGTGCAAGCCCAGGAACCCCCTGCCATGTGTCGGGCTGGGGCACCACATCTAGCCCCATTGGTGAGTACTCCCACATTCTGGGAAGGAAGGGCTGGGGGGCCTGGACTCCTTGGTCTGAGGGAGGCGGAGGTCAGTCCCCGGACTCCTGGTCCTGCTGGAAGGTAGAACCCTCACTTGTAACCCTTCTGTGCCCCCCAGTCAGTTACCCCAACTCCCTGCAGTGTGTGAACATCAACATCTCCTCGGATCAGGAGTGTCGGCGGGCTTATTCCCAAGCCATCACTGCTGGCATGGTCTGTGCAGGTGTCCCCCAAGGTGGGAAGGACTCCTGTCAGGTGAGGCCCAGGAGGAGAGCTGGGGGAGGGGGATTGTTTGGGGCTGGGACTTGGGTTTCAAAGGATCTCAGGAGCATGAAAATCAGCAGAGGCCTCCCATAGACTGAGAGAGATTGTAACAGCTGGGCTGCCTGCTAGTTGTACACCCTTGGATAACAGACCTAATCCCCCTGTGCCTGAGTTTACTAATCTGTCAGGTGGGGGTAGCACCTAGGGGAGGTGGTGGAATGAGGTGGTAGTGCATGGAAAGCAGTGGTGCTCTCATTGTTGTTATTACATATGGGCACTGGGAAATCTGTGCTCAGGGACTCTAGAGACATTAGCCCATCCCTGAGAGGTGACTCCAGAGACGGGGAGATAAAGAAGCATACACAGTTTTCTAGAGCAGCGTAGTGAGCCCCAAGAGGCAGAGATAGCAGGAACCAGGGAAGAGGGAGGGCAGTGACCCCAACCCTTCCGGCTGGTATCTCCAGAGCCCTGCCAGGGCTCTCAGCCCACCTCCTTCCTCACGTTTGCCTCTTGGGTTTTCCACACCCATGCCTCTGACCATCTGTCCATGGGTCTCTCCATTTCGGCCTCTCCCCTTTAGGGTGACTCGGGGGGACCACTGGTGTGCAAAGGACAGCTCCAGGGCCTTGTGTCCTGGGGGATGGAACGTTGCGCCCTTCCCGGCTATCCTGGAGTCTATACCAACCTGTGCAAGTACCAAACTTGGATCCGGAAAACCATACGGGGCAAATGATTGCTGGTGTAACTGAACACCAGCCCATCTGCTTCCCCAGATATTGCTCTCTCCACACCAAACCCCGGGGTCCCAGCCCCCAGCCCCTCCTCCCTCAGACCCAGAGTCCCAGCCCCCAGCCCCCTTCTCCCTCAGACCCGGGGTCCTAGTCCCCAGCCCCTCCTCCCTCAGACCCAGGGGTTCTAGCCCTCATCCCCCTCCTCCCTCAGGCCCAGGGTCCAGGCCCCCACCCCTCCTCCCTCAGACCCAAGAGTCCTGACCCCCAGCCCTCTCCTCCTTCAGACCTGGGAGTCCAGGCCCCCAGTCCCCTCCTCCCTCAGACCCAGGAGTCCTGGCCCCCAGCCTCTTGATCTGGACTCCTGACCCAGAACTCTCCTTTCCAGAGAAGTTCCTTCAGGATTTCTCTCCACACCCCCACAATATCATTATTCAAGGACCCTTAGGTACAGATATAGGAACACGAAAGCACAAAACTTGCACCATACCCCAAAGAAGACATTTTTCAAAACTCTTAGTGTCTCTAAAAACCAGATAAACAGGGGCACCTGGGTGTCTCAGTTAGTTAGGCATCTGCCTTCGGCTCAGGTCGTGATCCCAGGGTCCTGGGACAGGGCCCCACATCAGGCTCGCTGCTCAACAGGAAGTCTACTTCTCCCTCCCTCTGCCGCTCCCCCTGCTTGTCCTCTCTCTCTCACTCTCTCTCTGTCAATAGATAAATATAATCTTTAAAAAGAAATAAATTAAATAAGAATAAAAACCAGATAACTAATAATAAAAATTGAAGAATCCTAAATTCCATTCATTGGTTCATTTACTTCATCCTATGGATATGCCTACAGTGGCTTCATGGTGCCCAGCCAGGAACTGTGTTCCTGACAAAGGCTGAGTGGGGTGCGTGTTGCTCTCTGGGGGCACTCCCCAGCCACAGTGTCTGGTGTGGAAGAAGGAAACACCCAGTCTTGCAGCCTGACCCTAAGCAAGACTGCCCTCCCTGAGCCTTAGCTCTGGGTCCTGTGAGCAGACACTGCTGATGTCCATGGTAGGGAGGGCAAAGACTGACTCTGTTTCTTGGAAAACCCTATGCATATAAAAAGGTCCTCTTTTTCCTAATCAGATCTCAGGTGAAGAGAGTTGAGTTAATCACCCTCTGGAGTTCAAGTCCTGGCAGAGACCTGCTCTCATTTTATTTCTTTATTCCATCTGTCATCCCTGACTCCAGTACCCTCCCTCCCCACAGGCACCAACACAAATGGCCCTGAATACCGTGCATCATTGCAAAACATGCCTCATCACAAGCTATTGCTTCTAATTTACATGAAGCCATTGTGTTAGGAATCTCATTCTCTTTCTTATATTCACCAAAGACGATTTTTTGGGCCCCTACAGTACACCAGCCATTGTTCTAAGTTCTGGAAGTTGAGCTCTGAACAAGCTAGATGAATCTAAATGCTTCCCCTCACTGAGCTTAGACTCCAGCAGGAGGTGACAGACAAGAAACAACAAACATAATTTAAGAGTAAAGTACAGGGGCACCTGGCTGGCTCAGTCTATGGAGCATACAACTCTTGATCTGGGGGTTGTAGGTTCAAGCCCCCACGCTGGGTGTAGAGATTACTTAAAAAAATAAAACCTTTAAAAAATAAAATAAAAGTAAAGTAAAGAAGAGAGTGCCGGAACCAGCTCATACCAGCCCCCATAAGAGCCAATTGGCCAATCTTTAGGAATTTTGAGAGCCAGGTGGTAAACACAAGCATTATTAAAAATTAAATTACATGAACTTACAGTTAAATATGAATATTAAAAAGAAGGCCCATAAATACTCAACATTCATCAATTCCTAATTATTTTCACTAATATTTATTCTTTGAAGTTATGTTTGTCTATTGTATTACATCAGTAACAGTGAGCTCTTCACATCTCTTTCCAATTCTGTGCCCAGTGACATTGCACTGGTAGGTTGATATCAGCCCAAGGAGGAGTATTTACACCACAGAAAATGGTAAAAACTTTTTTGGTTGAATCCTTACCAGCACAGCACAGGACAGGTCTGCCTAGGAATGACCCAATGATGCTATGTTTCCTCATGGTTCTGCGCTGGGATACTGCAGAGCTCAGCTGGAGTAGAAGCCAGTGTGGTCTCACCAGTGTTCACTTGTTCTCTTGTGGGGGGCAGCACAGGACCTAAGAGTTCTCAGGTGGTGGATCTGGGACCCATGTGGTTACAGCAGCTCCAACAATTGTTGGGACATGGAGGCTGCACCTTCTGTCCCAGGGATGCAGACACACCTTGGCTCTCATATGTAGCAGCCATACAAGCTCTGTGGAGGAAATGGGACAAGAGCGGCTGTGTCCTGGGATAGATTTGAGGTGAAGACACAGCCCATGCTGTGATTCTTAGCCTACATCCAAAAAGCTCAATAAGAATAGTTTCGATCAAAGATTACTTTAACCTGATTTCCCAACTGTACCCCACAATGTGATAGTTGAGTACCACACTTTATTGCTTCTCATATGCACACTGCTTCACATTTTTCACAATTCTGAAATCAGGAGGCATCTTAGTATCTTAGCTTTATATCATAATTTAATTGACAGCTTCTTTCTCTATCTCAGAGGTATGCAAAATAATAGTGCAAATACAATCACCAACGTCTTAAGTTTGATGATATGGGATACACGGAAGGTAGGTGTCAGTGAGGAGTCAGGCTGAGGTATTTCTTTTTCAGTTGTCTCTATGCCCAACATGGGGCTCGAACTCACAACCTTGAGATCAAGAGTCACATGCTCTACTGACTGAGCCAGCCAGGTGCCCCAAGGTTGAGGTATAAAATATAAGATCTTATTCCACCAAACACTGTGTTAACAACCTCTCCATGTTGCCATTTGCTCATTTAATTTATTGCTTTTCATTGCTAGAGTGTTCTCCATCTGCACTGCCCAATATGGTAGCCACTGGCCATACACGCTCCTTTAATTTTTAAATTAAAATTGGCTAAATTTAATATATGTTAAGATTCCATTCCTTAGCTGTTCTTGCCACATTCCCAGTGCTCAGTAACTGTATGTGGCTAGTGGCTGCCATTTTGGACAGTACCAATAAATGGAGCATTTCCACCAACCCACAAACTTCCATTGGTGAGCACTACTCTAGTCTATACCCTTGCATCTCAAAGTGGGGTCTAGGGAACAGCAGCACCGGAATTACCTGGAGCTTGTAGAGGTCAGAGTCTTGGGCCCCACCCCAGTCCAAATGAACCAGAACCTGCATTTTAATAGGATCCTCAGGGACACAAAGCATATTAAAAGTTTGAGAAGGACCAGCTTACTGTAGACGTCCACCACATTTAACTACCCAGTTCTTTAAGGATAGACACTTGGGTTCCCTCCACTAACCTGCCATAGTGCAATGACTATTTGGGGATATGCCCCTTACGTGCCTATAGAAGACTTCTCTGGAATATACACAGAAGTGGGATCATTGGACCAGAAGACCCACTCTTGATTAATTGCACCAAGAACTGGCAGGTTTTTGTCTAGATTAGAAGGATTCCTGTCTGCCCACACCCTCAGCAATGCTTTCAGTCCATTCTGCAAATGTAAGTCACATCCGCATGTAACATACATGAATATACATTGAATTTTATTGACTATTTGTCTTTGTTCAATATTTTTTGAATATTCATCCAGCAAAGAGTCATTGCATTTTATGACAGATAAGCAAAACAGATAAGCACCTCTGCCCCAAGGAAACTCACTTTGAAAGGAGAGGCACACAGGAAATTCATAAATGAATAAGTAAAACACAAAGTATTACAGATGGGAGTCCCTTGGATAAAAGTCAAGCAGAATAAGGGGGATAGAGAATGTCAGAGGAGCGATTTTAAGTAGGTGGTTGTGGGTTAACTCGGCAGGCCTGGGTTGTCCAAAAGCTGTACAGAAAGAAAGGTTTGGCCCTTTCCAGTTCTTCTGCCTGTAACAGTGTCTTTGTTGACCCGCCTTCCTCATGCCTGATAGTCTCTCCTAATAAAAATGACATGGTAGAAGCCTTGGGGCATGTTGTTTCTGTTTGGCCTCTGGAGGCGCTAGAGAGTAAGGTCAGCCATGCAAGGGGACAGCCATGCGCTTGACCCCCAGTTGAAAACCCCGAACACCAAGACTCAAGGGAGCTTCTCAGGTTGGCAGTACCCTGCATGAGTTACCACACATCGCTGCTGGGAGAAGAAGCACTGCGTGCCTAACTCCACGGAGAGAGTTATTCCGAATCTCATGGCTGGGCTCTCCCACACTCTGCCCTGTGCGCCATTTTCCTCTGCTTCTTTGATGCTATATTTGTACGTATAATAAACTGAAACCACCAGTATAGCAGCTTCTTTGGGTTCTGTGAGTCCTTCTAGTGATCCGCTGAACCTGTCCTGGGAATTCCCAGCTACAGTGGTCATGAAAATCTTCAGAGAGAGGAGGACAAGAAGGGAAGAAACTATGCAGACATGTGGCTTGGATGAGGCTCTGAGAGGGTGCCTGGCATGAGAAGGGCTGGCAGGAAAAGACGGTGGATGATGTCTAGAGACTTGTAGCCACCATTAGGAAATGGGACATTCACTCTGAGCGATGTGGGAGGTAGGGTTTTGAGAAGAGGACTGACCTGCCCTGACACACATTCTCTTAAAAGGTCACTCTGGCTGCTGTGTCAAAAATAGGGTGTAGGTGGACAGGCCAGAAACATGGAGCCCAGATAGGAAATTTGCAATAATCCAGGTGGGAGATGACGGTGGCTGGGAGGGCCCAGGCAGCAAAGGTGGAGGGTGAGTTGAGAAATGGTTAGATTTGGGATCTATTTTGAAGGCAGAGCTGACGGGGTTCAATAATAAGATGGATGTGTGAGAGAAGGAATCCAAAGGAGAGACGAAGGTTTTCACTTCTGAGGGCTAGAACAATGGAGAGACCACCGATGGAGAAGATCAAGACTGCTAGAGGAGCCTGCTTGGGTTTGGACCTGCAGATGTGAAGCAGACAGTTGTATGTCAAATTGAGAGTTCAGGAGCAAGGTCTGGCTGGAGACTTAAATTTGGGAGTCGTCAGCATGTAGATGGTATTTAAAACCACCAGGCCTGATGAGATCACCAAGGGAGTGAGTGTAGACAGAGGAGAGAAGAGGACCAAGTACCGAGCCCCGCAGTACTCCGCCATGTAGAGACAGGACAGGAGGATGCAGCACCAGACGCGGGTGAGGAACAGCCACTGAGCTATGAGGAAGACCAGGAGGAGGGTGAAGTGTCCCAGAAGCCGAGGAAAAATCTCTCTGAAGGAACAGGGAGTGATCCACTTGTTATACGCTGCTGATAACTCAAGTAAGATGGGTTCAGCGACACCGAAGTTTCTGGTGCCCTTGACATGGGTCTGGCTGGCGGAGTCGTGGGGGAGAAAGCCTGCATGGAGTGGGCTCAAGAGAGAGTAAGAGGACAGGAGTTGCAGACAATGAGTGTAGCCAACTTTTTAGAGAAGAATTGTAGTCATGGGGAAAAGGAAATGGGGCCAAAAAAAAAAAATGCTGAAGGAGAGCCTGAAGGCTGAGAGGTTTCCTTTCTTGTTCTTAATTCCTTTCATGAAACATGGGAGCAATTACAGCATGTTCCTATGTTAATGAGACTGCTGGCTGGGGAAGAATAAAAGGGATGCAGACAAGGGAGCTCAGAAGAGCTGGCTGGAACAGTGTTCCCAGGGAGGTGAGAGGGACGGGAGGTCAGGCACAAGTGGACAAGTGGAGGGTTCTGTCTATAGGAGAGGAGGCAGAGGATGTGGGCACAGACACAGGTAGGTGGCAAGACTGACCTTTCTAGTTTTTGCTATTCTGATGGGTGGAAAGTGGTTTGCTGTTGCTACACAGGAAAGATGGTGACTAGGGTGACATCCTTCCCAGCATGGACCCAGCTCTAGAGAAGAATTCATGGGTTTCCACTCGGTGTGCACCTTTCGCTCCAAGAGCGCAACTCCAGTTTCTCACCAGGCTTCTCCATCTCTACATCTTCATGCCTCTCTCTCCCTCTGCATTCCCTCTGCCCTCTCCCACCCACCCTTTCTTTCTATCTCTCTGTATTTATCCCTTAGTGTCTTTCTCTGTCTCCCCCTCCCTTCAGGTTTGCATCGGGGCCTCTCCTCTGAGCCTGGGTGTGGGACCAACTTTCTCATCCCAGCCAGCACTTCCAACCAGAACTTCCAGTCCTTGCTTGACAAAGAACCCCATTTTGAAGCCAAGCAAGGGTGGGGCCTCCAGAAACCTCAGGCTACCTCCATTTCCAGCTTTACTTAACAAGCACATTTGCGGCCCTTGGTCTGTGTCAGGCTCTCATCTAAGCACCTTCAAATATTAACTCATTTAACCCTCCTCAATGAGGCATGGAGATCCTATGCTGTTGATAGCGCCATTTTGCAAATAGGGACACTGAGGCACAGAGTGGCCATGTCAGTTTAATTCATGCCACTTAAACAGTCTAGCTCCAGTCTCAGTTCTGAACCACTAGGGACACTGCCTCTTTTTCTAGTCCTTTCTCCAGCTCTGCCCCCTGTTGGGGGAAAGACCCTGATCTATGAGCCAGTACACCTGCATTTGGTCTAGTTGTGTGATTTTGGCAGCTCATTGCCCTCCGTAGGCTCCAGCTGCCTTACTGATCCAGTGAGGGGATGGAATGCAGCCGACTCTTGGTGGACCCATGACTTCACTTCAATGTGAGTCAGTCAACCTAAGTCCAGGCCTAATGTCATCACTGACCTCATACTCATCCCAAAGCAAACGCCAAAGCCAGCCACCCCCACTCCAGGTTTCCAGCCCTTCCCAAGCACAAAAGGCTTTTCTGAAGTGTGGACACAGGCCACAAGAGGGCATAAGTACCCTGACTTCCCACACAAGCTTGTCAGTCACCTCACTTAACCCACATCCTCTCCTCCTGCATCTCCCCTCCACCCAACCTGAACTCAACACTACTCAAAAAGAGTGAATTCAGGGGCGCCTGGGTGGCTCAGTGGTTTAAAGCCTCTGCCTTCGGCTCAGGTCATGATCCCAGGGTCCTGGGATCGAGCCCCGCATCGGGCTCTCTGCTCAGCGGGGAGCCTGCTTCCTCCTCTCTCTCTGCCTGTCTCTCTACCTACTTGTGATCTCTATCTGTCAAATGAATAAATAAAAAAATCTTTGAAAAAAAATAAAAATAAATAAAAAAGGGTGAATTCAGTGCCCACTCTGGGGCCAACCTTGTGAGGTGGGGGGAATTTCAAGATGGGGAAAGACAATGCTCTTTCAGTCACCTTGAAAGGAACTCACAGCTATGAACCAGCCCACTCCCACCAAAACCCTATCCCAACACAGACACTCAACCTCTCTAACCCCAACCCAATAGGACTCCATCAACATTCTTATCCTCAGATCCTTCTCATCCAGAACTCCTATCCTCAAAACCAACTCCTTACCCCATCCTCTCCCTGTGTCTCTTCTCCATAAGCTCACTTGCATTCCAGATGCTACCATCAGACCCATCCTAAACCTGTCCACAAACTTTTGTTCCTAATGTAGGGAAAAACATGAAAGACTTTGAGATGGACCCAACAGATGTCTCTGATGGAAAATTAAATGGGTTATCTGATTTTACGGGGTCTCTGCTTCTATTATTGTCTTTGAGCTACTTTACAGCTCCATAAATCATAGACAGCTGATAGCAATGCAAATCATTCTTGTCCGTACTGTGCAAATGAGTGTTGGCAGGTGGAAGTATAATCAATTTCCCTCCCCCCACCGATGTAGAATAAACCAGTTTTGTATCTATTTATAAATTCATTTCAGCATTCCTTATTGCCTCTACCTGTGTGGTTCTTTGTAATATCTTACCAGCTCCACTGTTTATTAATAAATCAAAATATTTGATGTTTATCATATATATATATATATATATATATATATATGTGTGTGTGTGTGTGTGTGTGTGTGTGTGTGTGTGTGTGTGAGAGAATCATGGTTAGATGCTTCTTAAAAGTTTATCTTTAAAAAAAAAAACTACTTACTTTTGACACTAGATTTGGTCCCTAAATCCAAACTTAAACTCCTCCAGTATGGACTACACCAATTTTGATATGAACCCTCTCTCTGCCCATCTTAATCCCTTATCCTTAGGACACCACAGCTCTCTCTCCAAACTTAATCTGATCCCCATCCCTGGCTTTCTTCCAAATTCTGACCCCACCTCTGCCCTCCTTAATCTTTAATCCTGCCCCCTCCACCCCCTAGGATTAATTCATGGGCCCACCCAGTCACAGTTCCAGGAGGCACCTACTCATTCCCAAAGCGCCACCTCTTCCTCCTTCCTCTTTCCCATCATCCTGACCCCTACAGCTTTCCAATTCCTGCTTCCTGTCCACCTACATCCCCATGGACTCCCTCACCCCAACTGGCCCTGTTCCTAAAAGACCATTCACCCAAAATATTGCTTTCCCCAGGCCCCATCTAGGTCCAAGTACAGTTGACGTTCTAGCCACATATCTGAAAGATTCCCTTCTTGCCCCTGATGGGGGTGGGGGTGGGGGTGGGGAAGGGGAAGGGGAAGGGGAATAGTGGGAGTAAATTGAGGCATCCCTGAGTTTTTCAGAAGGGCTGCAACATGGCTTTGGTGCTGGAGATGAATCTGGGAACTGCAATTTGGATGTGCTGGGTTTGATGTCTGGATAAACTTGAGATAAGGCTATTGATGGTCTTGAGTTTGGGGAACAGGCTGACCGCAGGGAGTATGGTTAAAATGAGGGAGATAGGAGTAGGGTGGAAAATGGCCATCTGGGAGCTGATGGATATAAGGACACGCACAGGAGTTGGAGAGATTAGAAAGTGGGATGAAATACCAGGTTGATGTTCGGGAGAGTCATGGGAATTTCGGGTGGGTTTGAAGAAGTAAATAGCTTTTCCCTTTCCTCTGGGTGGGTTCTACTGCCCCAAAGTTCACAGTGGGTTCAACTGGGGCCTGGGCGGGGCCAGATCTGGGTCCCAGCTCTTCCTGGAAGCTCCGCCCCAAGCGGAAGGGCCAAGCCCAGGCTTGGGGGGTGTCTGGCAGCAGTCTGCTGAGCCATTGGGGGTGGAGAGGGGGAGGCCAGCAACAGGGAAATGCTGAGGGCGCTGGGGGAGGGAATTCAGGGGTTAAAAGCCATGGGTCCGGGTGAAGTTGGAGGCAGCTGGCGGCGAAGCTCCGCACCCAGGCCTCTTACCGAGGTAGGGTCCGCCTGGGGCAGGGGCGGGATCGTCAAAGGGGAGGAGTGGGGAGAGCAAGGAGAGGTGAGGAGGGAAAGGAGAAGAGGGAGAACAGCTGAGTCAGAGAGATGGAGAGGGAAGCCAGAGGTTCAGTTACAGAAATCTGCAGAGCTGGCGAGGGTGAACAGCGCTGATAGATAAGCTGTTTGAGGCCAGGTGCGCGGGACGACCCTGAGAGGGTAGCGAGGGGGCGGAGAGGGTACAGAGGCACCCGCTCGCTGGAGAGCATGGGTGAACGCGGGCGCACGCTGCGCCAGCCCCTCCTACCTCCCTACTGGGGCTCCCCACGGAGGATGGAAATTAGGGAAGGGGTTTAGATTCCAGGGCCAAGGTTCTTAGTGAAGGAGAGATTACAGGAGCAGAGATGGGGCGGTCAGAGATGGGGGTTCAGCCAGCCCTTAACCACCCCCCCAACTTCTCAGGCCCCGCCCGCCCTGCTCCCCACCCCGGAGCTGCCATGTGGCCCCTGGCCGCTGTGATCGCCTTCTTGACGGTGGCCTTGTCAGGCGGTAAGAATGCGCGGGGGTGGAGGCGGGGTGGCCGCCGGAACAATGGTAGGAGGGGTCAGGCCAGGAGGAGGGGGCGTGGGAGCCCGGAGCTCCGCCCACCGCCCACTCGGGGCCGGGTCCTGCGGGGACAGCCCCCGAGAGCTTCCTGCTTGTCCCTGCGTGACCTGGTTTCTCCCACGGGGTGAGTCCACCGTCCCCGGCTCCTTCCTGGGGCGTCCCAGTTCTGCGGGGCTGGGGGTGGGGGGCTGCTCTATGTTTAAGTCTCCTGGATCTTCCCTACCAGCCCCTTTCCTGATTGCCCGCCTCTGCACTGGGAAGCCCACTCCCACCCGCATCCCTCGGTCCCTCAGCAGCCTCCCTCACATTCAAGGCCTTCCTGAGAGCGTGAGAAGAGTGAGATTCAGGTACAAATAAGCAATGAGCAAGTTAAGTTAGCTTCTCTGTGTTTTTTTCATCTGTGAAATGAGAACATAGACGTCCCCACTACAAAAGGTTGTTGTGAATATGAAAATAAGCTAGTGCACAGCAGATAGAAGGGGCTGGCAAGTTAGCCTTGTTACTTTATTAGAAGTATTCACTCTTTCATTTTCAGCCCCTTCCAAAACCTTCCAGTTTCCCTTCCTTTTAAACATCGGAGTGACCCCATAGCTGATTCTACCCTAAGTCAGTCCCAAAGATTTCTCCTCAGTTTAAGCGCCTTTTTGCAGGCATATTCTCTGGAAACCCCATTCAGGCATCATCAACCGTCCATCCATCCAACCAACCAACCAACCAACCAGCCACTTAACCAACAGCTGTTGAACTAGGCACTGTGCTGGGTGTTATACAAGCACACACAGTTCCTGCTCTTAATACCCAGAGCCTAGCGGGGAAGGATGCACATATTATTCAAGCAATTACCCAAATAATTAGTTAATAATTAGTTACAACTGTGACAGGAGGCGATAGCTTCAAGGAGCCAAGCCAGGAGCCTAGAGATACAATGGAAGCTCCTGGTCTGGAAGGCCCCACCCCAAAGGACTAGACCCCTGAGCTGAGACTTGAAGGAGGGAGGAGTCCTCGGGCATCTGGCACTGGGCACGGGGCACCACCCTTGGCCTGAAGGTGGGGTGGTTTCTCTCCTTTGGCACCACTCCCAGGACTCGTGCCCAGTGTCCCAAGCCCCTCCTGGGTACCACGCCCTGGGCTAGGAGCTCCACATGCATCTTCTGGAGCCCTTAACAGCCTTATGAAGTAGGAGTACTATAATTAACTTCAGTTTCTCAGCTAAAAACCTGGAACTCTGAGACAGCAAGTCCTGCCCCAAAGACACTGGTGACGCCTGAGTCAGGACTGGCTCCGTATTGCTTGCCCTGTCTCTAGCATCCTGGACTTCAGGTTCTGGCAACCATCTTCATTATTTTAGATCTAATGGTCTGTTTAGAATCAACTTTTTTTTTTAAACTTACAGTATATTTAAGATTTTATTTATTTATTTGAGAGAGCAAGAATGAGCAGTAGGGAGGGGCAGAGAGAAAGAGAGAGAGAGAGAGAAGCAGACTCCCTGCTGAGCAAAGAACCCTATGTGGGTTCAGTCCCAGGACCTGGAGATCATGACCTGAGCTGAAGACAGATGCTTAACCGACTGAAGCACCCAGGTGCCCCACATAACTTACAGTATACTGTAAGTAAAAATTTTTTCATTATCCTAAGTGGAGAAGAGCATCCTTTGCTATAAGTAAAAGGTAAGAGGAAAACATGCATGCTGCACAACGTAACAAAAACAATGTTTCTTGGGTTGGACCATCTGACATTTCCAGTCGTCAGTAGTGCCCCCTTTGGGACCTCCCCCAAAACAGTGACTATAGATGGCTCAACTTAATAAATTTTAGGTTGCTGGGTAAAGGCTTCTGCTTCCTGGTTTTAGAAAGTGAGTTCAGGGGATGCCTGGGTGGCACAGTCGGTTAAGCCTCTGCCTTCAGCTCAAGTCATGATCCCAGGGTCCTGGGATGGAGTTCCACATCGGGCTCCTTGCTTGGCAGGGAGCCTGCGTCTCTCTCTGCCTCTGCCTGCCACTCTGCCTGCTTGGGCGCATACTCTCACTCTCTCTCTCTCTCCAACAAATAAATAAATGAATGAAATCTTAAAAAAAAGAAAGAAAGAAAGAAAGAAAGTGAGCTCAGCAAGGATTAGAGAGGTGGTAAAAGCAGAGTAGCCCCATCATGAGACTTTCTCAACAGACTCATACTGGAGGCGATCTGGACAGTGACTCTTGTTCCCAAGGCTGCAATTTGATGTCACTCACGCCTCATCTCTCTACCCCCTAAAATGACCTTGTGCCCACCAATGACTCTTGTCCCCAGTTGTGAGAACCACCGAGCTAATCCTTATGCAGGTGGGGCAGCTGGCCCAGAGAGGAGGAGAACCTGCTAGCCACGGAGCTGGGGACCTCCTGTTGTAGCTAATAATTAGTAACAGTCCCTGCTTACTGAGTGTTTGCTTTCTGCCAGGTACTGTGCCCAATGAGAGATGTTTTCTTTTCCCTTTTTTTTAAAGATTTTATTTATTTATTTAAGAGAGAGCACAAGCAGAGGGAAAGGGAGAAGTAGGCTCCCCGCTGAGCAGGGAGACAGATGTGGGGCTCAATCCCAGGACCCTGGGATCATGACCTGAGCTGAAGGCAGACACTTAACCAACCGTGCCAACCAGGCGCTCTGAGAGATGTTTTCCTACTTTACAGCTGAGGAAGCTAAGGCTGGTGGTTTGTACAGGAGCGCCCAGCCGGAAAATGGTACCTTTAGGATTGGGCTTTCTCTCTGGTTGTCAACTGCTGTGTCTCCTCCAATGCCAGACACTGTGCTTGGTCCTGGGGATATAGCTCTGAATAAAGCAGAGAAGGTGCCTGTTGCTGATGGAGCTTACAGTCAAGTTGGGGAGATTTTAAAAAAAGGAAAAAGCCACATGAATTGTAAACAAATATAAAGAGAAATGAAATGAATAGTGATCATGGCTCTGATGAAAATCAGCTGGGGGGGATATAACAGGGAGTGACTAGCAGGCTGGGGAGGCCAATATTACACCAGGTGGCCAGGAATCTGGGATGGCTTCTGTCTGAGCTGAGCTGAGCTCTCAGAGTCAAGAGGGACACAGACATGTAACCTGTAGATTCCGAGTGCCATCAAGTAGAATATTTCCTGTGTATGACGTCTTACGTCTGCCCTGTCCAATATGGTAGCTTCTGGCCACGTGGGACTCTGCTGAGCATGTCAAATGTAACCGGTGTGGTTGAAGAACTGAATTTATTTCATTTTCATTAATTCAAATTTAAATATCCACATGGAGCTAGTGGCTGTCGTATTGAGCGGCACAGAACTAGATGAAGAACTGTGTCTGGAGAATGGGTCCATGAATCTGGAACACAGTGTGTGAAGGGGAGAGGTCGGAGATGGGGGCAAAGGGGCTCTTAAGGGTCAGATGTCCTGCAAAGTTTGAATTTGAGCGGTTAGGCTATGGGTTGTGTTTAAAGCCATAGAGCTACCCAGTAAATACATAGTGAAAGGATGGATGGATGGAAGGATGGGTACATACTTATTGCCTAGGTAGATGTGTAGGTCAGCCTCATTCTTATCTCCTGAAATCCATACCCCTGGTGGGATGAAGAAATGCAGGTGAGGAGAAAGCCTGGCTTCTGCTTACCCATCAGAAGCTTCCTTGTTCAGTGAACTCTGAACCCCCAGTGGAGTTAGCACCTACCCAGAAAAGGAAATCATCACCTCTCTGCCCTGACTCATCTCCATTACATGGAAGATGGCAACTTCCAGAGGCTAACAAATGAATCATCAATTCCTGGTCATCCAGAGCAAAATTCTGACCCTCTCCCCAAGCCCAGCGCCTCCTTTCCCCTCTGGATCCCAATTCCCTAACATTTTCTCTTCTTTACCAGGCATCTCACAGGAATATCCCAAGATTCTCAACGGCACCAATGGGACCAGCGGGTTTCTCCCGGGTGGCTACACCTGCCGTCCCCACTCTCAGCCCTGGCAGGCAGCCCTGCTAGTGCAGGGGCGCCTGTTCTGTGGGGGAGTCCTGGTCCACCCCAAATGGGTTCTCACTGCAGCACACTGTCTGAAGGAGTATGTGGGGGTCAAGGCAGCATGAGGGTTAGGGCGAGAATGGGTCTGGGGTGGTGGGGGAGTGGATCTGGATAGAGGATGAGGTCAGAGTTAATGCTGGGGTTGGGAATGGGATTGGAGTTGAGGTGTGGAAGATGTCTGGAGAGGAGAAAGGTGGTGGAGATGGGCTTATCCTCTCTAATCACCCCTTCCTGCACCCACAGAGGGTACAGAGTTTACCTGGGCAAGCATGCCCTGGGGCGTGTGGAGGCCGGAGAGCAGGTGAGGGAGGTAGTCCGCTCTATCCCCCACCCTCAATACCAGATCAGCCCCACCCACCTGAACCATGACCACGACATCATGCTTCTGGAGCTGCGGTCCCCTGTCCAGCTTACGAGCCACATCCGTGTCCTGCCTCTCTCCCACAACGACTGTCTCCCCGCTGGTACCTGCTGTCGGGTGTCTGGCTGGGGCACCACCACCAGCCCCCAGGGTAGGCAGCCTCACAGGTGGCCTGAGGTGTCAGTGGGACAGAAATGGGAGGGAAGGCTGGAGGAGGATTCCTTTATAAATATAAATAACAACAGATATACAGTTATATGTTATATATCACATATATGTGTTATCTATCTCCTTCATATAAATATAAATTTATAAATATAGTTATATATGTTACATATATCCTTTAAACAAATGTCTATTTATAAAGTTATATGTATAGATTATATAGTTCTATATCCTTTATAAATATATATAAATTGTAAATATGTATAAAGTTACATTATATATCCCTCATATAAATGTACATAGTTGTTAAGTCATAGATTATATATAAGGTCATAGATCAACTATCATATAAACCTATATATCCTTTATATAAATATATAAATTAATAAAAATATGGCAATATATGCTATATATTACATGTATATATAAATATATATCACTATGCATTTGTATATACAGATTATACAGATTTTCTAAATCATAAGTTCTATTATTTGTGTATTTATTTAAATATGTTTGTATATAAATTTTGTATTATATAAATTATACATAAATATATTTAAATAAATATATGACTTGTAAATTTGATATATCGGCAGGTATGGATTTGTTAAATGTAAGGAAATGTAGGTTTATCCTTTGTGTAAAAAGGACACATGCATGAATAGAAAGTTGATCCTTATAGCAACAAGGGCCCTTTGCATCTCCTTATTTGTGCCCAGGCTTCCTCCTGTCTCATTCCCTCTTCCTCCCTGACTTGTCATCTTTCTCCCCTGTTCTTCCCATCCCCAGCCCTCTGTCTCACCATCTCCCACTGTCCCTCTCCTCGGCTCCTGACTTTCTATGGCTTTTCCTTCCCAGTCCGCATGCATTCTTTCCATCTTCCCTTCCACTTCCCTCCTGTTTCTCTCCACACCTGCCTCCTCCATCACTTTCCCCAGACACATGCTCCATCTCTCTACCTCTTCAACACCATCCCCTTTGCATCCGTTTTCTACAGACTCTCCCCTTTAACTCCCACCTCATAGTCTGTCCTAGACAGACATCCTTAGACCCTCCTCTCTCTCCTCCCCAGTGACTTACCCCCAAACCTTACAATGTGCCAACATCCAGCTACGCTCAGATGAGGAGTGTCGTCAAGTCTACCCGGGGAAGATCACACCCAACATGCTGTGTGCGGGCTCAAAGGAGGGCGGCAAGGACTCCTGCGAGGTGAGAACAAGGGGGTAGTGGGTTGCCGTGGGCCAGGAGGATGGAGGTAGGGACAGATGCTGAGGGGAAAGGACTTGCTTCTAGCTTTAGGGGAAGCAATCTTTTTATTATTTTATTTTTTTTAAGATTCTATTTATTTATTTGACAGAGAGACAGCGAGAGAGGGAACACAAGCAGGGGAAGTGGGAGAGGGAGAAGCAGGCTTCCCACGAGCAAAGATCCCAGTATGGGGCTCAATCCTAGGACCCTGGGATCATGACCTGAGCCAAAGGCAGACACTTAATGACCGAGCCACCCAGATGCCCAGGCAGCAATCTTTTAAAATGGCATTTCCCCTAGTACTGAGGGTCAAGATAAAAAGAGAGTACCTGTGGCGGAAGAATATAATTCACTGTTCGCCTCAGCTTTTGACGGACAGTGGCTGTCCAGATCCCTGTGTTGACATTCATAAAGGCTGGCATTCTTTCAGTTACAAGTGACAGAAACCCAAGTCCAACTAGCTTAAGCAAGACACGCTGGCTTTTGTAACGGAAAACTCGGGGTGTGTCTTGTTTCAGGGACAGATGGATCCAGGTGCACAAATAATGTGTTTAGGACTCTGTCTCTTTTCAACTCTGCTCTTCTCTCTTGTCTTCGTCTTCGTTCTCAATTAAGCTTTTCCCATACAATAGCAAGATGGCCCCAGCAGCTTTGGGTTTACATCCCACCCTCCTACGCTACTTGACTAGAAAGAATTTTCCAATGGTTTACATGAGCATTTTGAGTATGAGTCTCACTAGTCTGACTCAGGTCATGTGTCCTGAACCGTCACTCTAACCAGGACTGTGCGATTCTCTGATGGACCAAGTCTGTCATGGGACTGACTATGTGGGTCAGGAAGGGGCAGGGACAAACAAGGATTGAGGTAAAGGGAGGGGCCTTTCCCCAAAACAGAAAATCAGGAGGCAGTTACCAAAATAAGGGGATACTATATGGCTAAAAACCTCCACAAACACAAGAAACAAAACCTATGTCCAATAGAGGAGGCTCCTGAGATTGAGTTTTGGGTCAGTAGAAAAAATGATGAGTGAATTAATGATGTGTGCCTTGACTAATCAGTGATGTCTGTCTTGGGTCCAGGGGGGGCAAGTGGAAGTACGTGTGTTGCATACAGACCTGGATGAGTTTACTCAGTAGTAAGATGGCGCCAGGGAACCATAAAGCCACAGGGGGGGGGGGGGGGGGGTAGGAGTGCCAGAGAGCCAGGAGTGGGTATTAAGTGACGTGTCACCACTCTAACAAACTGAGGAGCAAAGAAAAACATGGAGAGAGAAGCCTCTTAATCTTGGTCTCCATGCACATCCAGCTCCATTTTTCTTTGTGTCTCTTTCGGTGTCACTCCATTCCTCCAAGTTTGTCGTCTTGTCTTCCCTGTTTCTCTCTCACTCCACCAAGGACCCCACCTCTCTCTCTTCCCCTACTCAGGGCGACTCCGGGGGCCCCCTGATCTGTAACGGAACACTCCATGGCATCATCTCCTGGGGAGACTTCCCATGCGGGCAGCCCAACCGGCCTGGTGTCTACACTCGAGTCTCTCAGTATGTTCTATGGATCCGAGACACAATTCGAAAACACAGAACTCAGGAGCAGAAATGGACAAAGGGCCCACAATAAAAGCCAGATTGGCTCACCTGTCTCCTTCCTCCCTGCGTGCCTTCCTCACTCCTTTGCCGCGTTAGCCCAGCCCTTCTTGGCCCCTCCCAAAGTTCCACTTAACCAGTGATCCGTGTTCTCAATGTGTCCGATCCGTGTTCTCAATGTGTCCAATCCCAGTGGATGTTTCGTGTTTCAGAAGCATCCAGTCACTCCCAGTATCATGGTGTCCCAGGTACTGCATCCTGAAACGCCTCGGTATCCTCAGCATTCCAACCTGGACAATGTTCCACGACTCCTGCTATCAACATAACCCCAGATGGCCATCTGAATGTTCTGTCTGTGGGACACCCTTAATGCATCCATTGGCCCATTTCAACCATATTCCATGTCCTGTGAATGGAACGTCCTTGACAACATTCTACACCCCTTCAAACATTCATTTATTGCCAACATTCTAGACACTTCTCTGTTTGGTGCTCAAGAAGGTTCTAAACTTCCGGGATAGTTCATACTGAAAATATTCTCTTGTGTCCAGAATCTGCCCCAACAATATTCTAGGTACACCTGAATGATTAATCACATCACAGCTAATACTAAGTCCTCATAGAAGTTCATTCTTACATAGTTTGGGGTCTCCCAAGTGTCCCATCCCACATTTTGCCAGTATTCCCTGTCCCTGAATCCCTATGCCCACAAAAAATCAATAGTACACAAGACTGGTGTTTTAGGGTTCAGTACCCAGGGGGTCTCCATGTCTAGACCCTATAACCTGCCAAGTACCCTGTCCTTTTCTCTCCCCCACCAAGCACCTTTGTTCAGTGACCCCAAATGCAGTGATTAAATGCTCAAGTCACCAAGTCCCTGCTTTGAACAAAACAGAACTCAGTGCCCCTCTATATTATTTCATCTGTAAAGGGGGCACATCATTTCTCCTCACAGCACTGTTATGATTAATGTCAAGCATTTCCACCCTTATTCTTACTTGCATGGTTCTCTATAGAATATCACCTTAGGGTGTCAACAACAATCCCTCAAATTTTCAGTGTCTAAAAAGTGTTACCTTTGGGGTGCCTGGGTGGCGCAGCTGGTAGAGCATATGACTCTTGATCTCAGGGTCCTGAGTTCAAACCCCACGCTGGGCACAGAGCTTACTTAAAAACAACAACAACAAAAAAGTTACTTTTTTTCAGCATTTGTTCTGTGGTGACCATCTGTAGGCACCCTCCTGGGTGTTGGTAATACTTTATTTGTTGTATTGGTGTTGGTAAATACTTTATTTACCAAATACCAGCACTTACCACAAGCTAGGCACTGTTGCAGGCACAGCTGCTAAACAATTAATTAGATAAAACTTCTGCCTCATAGAGCTCGTGTTCTTTGAAAGGAGACACAATTAAAAAACAAGGAGATAGACTGAAGTGGCAGTGTGAACCATGGCAAAAAAGCAGAGATAAAGGATAAGGAATGTTGGGTAGGGAGAGTGAATGGAGTTATTTTATTTTCTATGTAAATTCCATGCCCGGCATGACGCTTGCAATCATGACCCTGAGATCAAGTCACATGCTCTACCGACTGAGCCAGCCAGATGCCCCAGAATTGCTATTTTAAATAGGTTGGTCTGGGGAAGAGACCTTAGGTGGTGACATTAAAAAACAAAAAATAAAACAAACAAACAAAAACACTGGAAAGATAAAGGGAGAGAGCCAAGTGCACATCTGGGGAGCAGCACCCCATGCAGAGAATACACATGCAAAGGCCCTGAGGCAGGAGCCGGCCTGGCACATCTGATGGTTGGGACGATGGTGAAGAGGTTGATGTGGAGGTGACTGCGCTTCAGGAGCTCAGGCAGGAGGTGAAGTTTCTTGGACCAGGTGATGTTCTCAGGGGAGTTAAGGGGGGCAGATTCTGGATCTTCTTGAAGAGATTGTTGGACAGTGCTGACATCAGATGAGGAATGTGAGAGAAAAGACAGCCAAGGAAACCTCAATGCTTCAGCCTGAGCAACCGCATACTAAATGGAGCTGCCGTTTACTGAAACTGGGGAAATTTCGTTAGGAAGAGATGCAGAGAAATACTGGGAGTTTTTGTTTTGAACTATTTATCAGTCAAGTGGCAATAAACTCTGCCCTCGAGGCGCCTCGGTGGCTCAGTCCTTAATCGGCTGCCATCGGCTCAGGTCATGATCCTGGGGTCCTGGGATGAAGCCCCACATAGGGCTGCCTGCACCCGGAAAGCCTGCTTCTCCCTCTCCCACTCCCCCTGCTTGTGTTCCCTCTCTTGCTGTGCCTGTCTCTGTCAAATAAATAAATAAAATCTTAAAAATAAATAAATAAATAAATAAGCAAACAAACTCTGCCCTCAGGGGATTTACAGAAAAATAAATAAATAAAAACTAAACTAAATAACTGCGAATTGTGATGATTTCTATGTGATAATAAATTTATCCATGAAGGATCTAAAGGGGTTTCGTGTTAGACAATTAGAGGGTAGGCTGTTTCTCACAGGAAGTCAGTGAGGGCTTCTCGGAGGAGGGGGCATTTGGCTGAAGACCTAAAAAAGTGAGAGGGATCCACTTGTGCAAAGAACAGAAGTAATCTCTCTAAAGGAGGAAGCCATCATCCTTCGGTGTCCACAGCCCTCAGTTCCTATAGGGGAAACTGTAGTTTAGTGTTTAAAAGCACACACACAGGCTGGGGACTCCTGGCTGGCTCAGTTCGTTGAGCATGAGATTCTTATCTTGGGGTTGTGAGTTCAAGCCCCACACCGGATGTAGAGATTACTTAAAAATAAATTAAAAATAAATAAATAAATAAAAGCACAGAGAGTGGAGTCTGAAGGATCTGGTTTTGGATGGAAGAAACTAGCTTTTGGGGAGTCTCTGTTTCCTTCTCTGGTACTAACAGGACCTACTGCTCAGGGATGTTAGGAGGATGATTGGCATTTAAAGCCTGCCCACATCAACTTCTCATTCCGTGGGAAAGCAGCATGAAGTAGCAGCTGGAACAGAGTTTCTGAGGCCAGGCTGCCTGGGTGTGAACTCCAGCTCTGCCACTTACTTAACCCCGTGACTTACTTTCTCCATGCCTCAGTTTTCCTATCACTCAAATGGGTATAACACTGGTACTTAACACCAAATTGCATAAAGACCCAAAAGCTAAGGGTCAAACCATAAAGCTAATGGAAGATAATGGAAGAGAACATTTTTGTGCTTCAGGGGTGAGGAAAGACTTTAAAAGTTCAGATGGACTAATCATAAGGCAAAAATTGTTTAATTTGATGAAGGATTTTCTGTTCAACAAAAGACAACAAGGACAAAGTAAATCAATGGGTGGAGATACTTGCAAAGTGTAATACTGACCTGGCATTGGTATCTAAAATGTGCAAGGATGGTGCCTGGGTGGCTCAGTTGGTTAAGCAACTGTCTTCAGCTCAGGTCATAATCCTGGAGTTCCAGGATCCAGTCCCGCATCAGGCTCCCTGCTCAGTGGGGAGTCTGATGATCCCTCTGACCCTCCCTCCTCCCATGCTCTCTCTATCTCTCTCATTCTCTCTCTCAAATAAATAAATAAAATCTTTAAATAAAATAAAATGTACAAGGAAATCCTGCACATAAACAAGAAGGACACTCAAGGCTGTGAATGGATTTGGAGAGGAAACAAACAGGAAGGTAAGATGAAAGGTGTACGTACTCGTTAGTCATCTAAGAAATACAAAAGCAAGTAACAATCCCTTTATGTTTATTAGATGGATTAGAAATCTTTAAAGTGAAGTAACTCATGTATTGGCAGGGATGCAGAAACAATACTTGAGCGCACAGCTGGTATGAACAGACATTGTCCAGTTATCTTGGAAGGCAATTTGGCAATCCTTGGCTGAATTAGGTCTATGTACACCCTAGGACCCAGAAGTGCCACTCCTGAGGTCTATCCTAGGGCAATGATCATGGAGATCACAAAGAGGCAAGCATGAAGTGTCTGTCACTCATCTCTTTGTTGTGCTGGGAATTAGAGGAAAACTGAGCACCCACTCATGGTGGGATGGGGAGGGGGGTAGATGTCAGGAGAAGGTGGAGAGCCCTATGGATGGCCATGACACAGCACTTGCAAGCAACAGATTAGATGCACATGTGATCGGAATCTTAAAGGTACAGTGCTTGGTACCAATCAATGGTGAAAATTAAAAAGACTGACAATATTAAGTGTTGGCAAAGATGTGGGGCACTGGAAGGCTTATACGCTATTGGTGGCAATGCAAAGTGGGATAACCACTTCCGAAAACATTGGGCAATTTCTTATAGAGTTAAACATACACATCATATGAATCCTGCAGTGCCACTCCTAGGTGTTTGGCTAAGAGAAATGAAAACATATGCCCACACAATGATGTGTACATGCATGTTTACATCAACATTACTTGGAATAACCCAGAAACTGGAAGCAACCCAGATATCCAACAACTGGTGAATGGATGTGGGCTGTTGTACATCAGCACCGTGGGATACTGCACAGCAATAAAAAGCAATGAACTCTTGTCAGGAAAATGCAAAAACATGGGTGATTCTGATATGCATTATATTAGTGAGAGAAGCCAAACATTTATGTGATGGTCTGAAAAAGGCAAAACCATAGTGGCAGAATGTAGATCAGTGGTAGCCTGGGGATAGAAGAGGGAGGGAGAGCTTTTGCAGAAGGAGTGCAGGGCAGCCTAAGGATGGGCAGGAAGGTGAGAGGTACTGTTCTATGTTTTGATTATCGTGGAGGTTGCCTGATAGTGTCCAGTTTCTGAAATTCATCAAATGGAACGCCTCATATGAATGGATTTTAATTTATGTAAATAATGCCTTCTTTAAAAATGAAAACAAAAGCATAGTTCTGAACTTAAAAATGAAAACCTGTATACCACAATACTGCGGACATAAATTCATACTACACAGAACTCTACACAGCACTTTGCACATAAAATATAGTTGGTAAGAATGCATGCTAATAGAAAAAATATACAACACCGTGAATGTATTAAGTGCTACTAAACTATGCAC